CAGTGATTAAAACACAAATGTTATCACTTAATATATTTGCATCTAATACATTACATTTTAAATACATACACTAGAAAACATATGCCTGCTTCTTCAATGGGTCATTTGGAATGATGGTGTTAAATTACATTCAATGTATAAATTGCTGCTATCTGACCCCACATGTTACAATCAGAATGTACAGTTTGTCTCCTAGATTGGATATTTATTAAAGGGATTATTCTAAAAGGCCTCTGCACTACATATTTGTTGGTAAATCCAAAAGTTGGCCACATATGTTACAATTTGATTGAACAATCAATTTTAGATTTACAATCATCTCTTTAGTTTAAGAGACACAATTGATTTCTCAAAATTCTGATCCTTTGATGGAAATTATTATATTGCATCTGCTAATCCCTCCACTGGCTCTAAATTGACCCAAGGAATACAATTCTAAATTCTAACAACAACATACAAAGCCAACCACAACTCTGCTCCAAGCTACATCACCAACCTCATCTCAAAATATCACACAGACCGCTCTCCCCCCTCATTGCAAGACCTCCTGCTCTTTAGCTCTCATCACCTTCTCCCATGCTAGTCTCCAGGACTTCTCCAGAGTGTCTCCCATCCACTGGAACTCCCTACCCCAATCTGTCCACTTCTCTCCTACGCTGTCCACCTTTAGACTATCCTTTAAAACTCATCTCTTCAGGGAAGCCTATCACACCTCAACATAACTGTCCTTTTACGTCTTCCACTAACTTATTCTAAACAAATATTACCTTTTGTATCACTTGCCCCTCCTGCTAGATTGTAAGCTCAGGAGCAGGGCCCTCTTAACCTTATTGTACTGAAATTGTATTGTAACGGTACTGTCTCCCCCCATTTTGTAAAGCGGGGCACACATTTGAGGCTCTATATAAATCCTGCATGATGATGATAACTACCATAAAACTATTGTACATTCAGATTGTAATGTGTGTGTGGCAAGCGTAACACACATCAAAGTTAAATGTATCAGTATACAGGATTGTTAAATAATTCTGCATGAACTGCCTGGTATGTGAACAGAGTTATAAGGCACTGTGTATAATAGAGAGAGATATGACATTGCATGTAATCCAGAGGTATGAGGCATTGCACATAATATGGAGGTATAAGTAGCTGCCCATCATACAGAACTTTCAGCCATTGTAGGTAATACAGAGGTAGGAGAGACCGCATGTAATCCAAAGCTATGAGTCCCTGCATGTAGTAAAAATTATAAGGCTTTGTGTTAGAGCGGTATGATGTATGAAACACAAAATTATTTGAGACCGTGTGTAATAAAGTAACATGAGACAGTGCATGTAACCGAAAGGTTTATTATTATTATACAGGATTTATATAGCACCAGTTTGCGCTTTACAATATAAGGAAGACATTACAATCGCAATACAAATCAAGACAAGATGGTAAGGAGGGCCCTGCCCGTGAGGGCTTGCAATCTAAAAGGGAGGGGGAAGTGATACATAAGGAGGGAGCTGTGTGGGGATGAATTGTTTAAGAACGGGATGGTTGAGCGGTTAGGTTGAGGTGGGATAGGCTTCCCTGAAGAGATGAGTCTTTAGGGAATGCCTAAAGGCAGTCAAGGTGGCCGACAGACGGACAGGTTGGGGTAAAGAATTCCAGAGGATGGGAGATACTCTAGAGAAGTCCTGGAGGCGAGCATGGGAGGAGTTGACAAGGAAGCTGGAAAGCAGGAGGTCTTGGTATGAGCGGAGCCGACGGTTAGGGTGATAATTTGAGACCAGGTTTGAGATATAGCCAGGGGCGGAGTTGTGGATGGCTTTGTAACTGATTGTTAATACTTTCAATTTTATCCTTTGGGCGAGTGGAGGCCAGTGCAGGGATTGACAGAGGGGGGTTGCAGGCACTGAGCGGTTGGTTAGGTGAATGAGTCTGGCAGCTGGCATTCATGATAGACTGAAGGGGGGATAGCCTGTGTAGTGGAAGGCCAATGAGGAGGGAGTTGCAATAGTCAAGACGAGATATAACAAGCGAGTGGATGAGTAATTTTGCGGTTTCTTTGGTGAGGAAGAGGCGTATTTTGGAAATGTTACGAAGGTGAAGGCGGCAGGATTTGGATAGCGATTGGATGTGGGGAAGAGAGGTTATAGTTGTGTTAACAATCTCAAGGGAAAAGTTGGGGGAAGGTGCACGGGTAGGAGGAAATATCAAGAGCTCAGTTTTTGAAAGATTTAGTTTTAAGTGTTGCGACATCCAGACGGATATGTCGGATAGTAGATTAGTGACACGAGAGGACACAGAGGGGGTGAGTTGTGAAGTAGAAAGATAGATTTGAGTGTCATCAGCATAGAGATGGTATTGGAAGCCATGTGAGGTTATTAACTGACCAAGGGAGGAGGTGTAGATAGAGAAGGACAGAGCCTTGGGGGACCCCTACAGAAAGAGGAAGAAGAGGGGAGGAGTTAGATTTGTAGGTGACGCTAAAGGAGCGCTTAGGTAGGAAGAGAACCACGAGAGAGCAGAGTCTTGTAGGCCAAGTGACTGGAGTTTTTTGAGGAGGAGCAGGTGGTCAACAGTGTCAAAAGCAGCAGAAAGGTCTACTAGCAAGAGTAGGGAATAGTGGCACTTATGTGTGGCACTTCATGCAGCATAGAGATATGTGGCACTGTCACACAGGGGAATGGGGCACTCTGTGTCATAGTTTTCAAGGTCTGCATGGGACAGAGCAAGAGGAAGCATCATATTGGTTTGCTGGAGGTTATGGTTCTCATTTAGGTGCTGTCTGCATGTATTTATCATAAACTTGGTATATTTTCTTGCTTTTAATCTCAATGCAACTTTCTCCTATATCCCAATAACAAAATGAAAGGATAACCGCCCTAGACTAGGTTTGGAGTGAAGAGAACTGTTTTACATTGTAGACTCTTCAAAATAATTTGAAATGTAGTAATTATTATTATTATTCAAGATTTATATAGCGCCAACAGTTTGTGCATCGCTTTACAATATATGATACTGTGTCAACACAAAACAAGTTGTTTTAAGTACATATATAGTAAATTCTGCATGTCTATACTCCTTTATAGTATATGCTATATATAAAACTGGAAAAGTGGTTTTTTTTTTAAATTTAGTGTTTGAAGCTTATGGACTGCCAAGACTGTAAATTCAAATATTTTGTGCAATATATTCACATTGTAAGAGCACTGCTGCCTTGTGGAACTAAAAATTCTAACAATCTTACCAGGAAGCATCTTATTGTATAGTGCTGATGAATAGAAGTACAGTATACTACAGAAAGACAATTTGAAATGTACTCCCCATTTAAATTTCACACTTCACTTGGATCAGTAGGGCACATGTGAAAACCAAATAACATGTTCTTTTTGAGTATCATTTAGAAATGACTAAAATTACTTCTCTGTGCTACATCATGTCACTTACAGCCTAGGCAAAGATGACATGCTCTCCGGCTACCAGGTGCTTTGTACGTTTTTCTCATCATTAAAAACGGCAAAGATTCTGTTGTTTTCAATCAGAGAGCCCTTATTAGTGAGATGAGACAATCAGCAGGAGGCAGAGCCTTCTAATGCAAATATGAGTGTTCCCATGTTTAAAAAATGTTAGCACTGTATGTGAAAACCAGGTTTTAAAAAAAAACATAACACACTTTTCTAAGAATATGCATATTCAACTAGTGATTTTTGTGTATTAAAACATTTTTTAAAAATAATAGAAATGCTAAAAGTCATCCTCTATGAACGTCTTTAAAGGAGAAGTATAGGGCACACTTTTTTTTTGCATTTTTACTTTCCTTATGAAGCAGGAGTCCATTTTGCACTGTAATCAAATATGCATCATAAGCTTAAAGTTTTGTGTAATATACTGTGGGTAGGGTTTAGCTCTGTGCTGAGAAGCAATCCCGACAATATTGTCAGGATCCTCCGTCCCATTGAGTGACGGCAGCTTGTAGGAGCTGTTGCGTGCTCATGAGAACCTGTGCAGTTGCTATGGGCACATCCCTGCGCATCCATCCTGCCGTTTGTTTTTCATTCATTTCAAAATGTACTCCTGTATCATGAGGAAACTAAAAATGCAAAAAAAAGGTGTACACCATAGTGCTTTCATTTCATGTTACTGTGGTCATAGAAAGCTTAGCAGATATAAGATAGAACAATGATCTGGGTCTACCTGTGCATTTAGTATTTTATACACCTAGCAAATAATGGAAAAACATTATCAAATATATAAGGATGCACACCTTTTGGATAATTCTACTCAGCAAGTACATTGCCACTGCTTTCCTGCTGACACTGTTAGATGATATGTGAAAATGTGTGCTGCATAGCTTTATACAGCACTTAGATTATGGTTAACTAAATTAACTTTTTGATTCTAGCAGAGTTGCAATGTTTACTTGATATCATTAGTAACTAACTGGCTAGATGTGGTTGTTGTCTGGAATTGCACTTTAAAATATTGTTCACTCCTATTGTTTTATTATTGTAAATACAGTCTTTTATGTAGAGCTGCATGAAAGATCATGGAATAGTAGAAATGTTAGAGTAAATAAAATACTTGCCTTTAATATATTCTGTACTAGACAGTAGTATGGGTCTTGTATAGTAAACTCGTATATAAAAAGCTTTGTCATATCTAGCAATAATTAGGACAAGATGTCCATTATATTACTTACCGGTCACTTTGGTTGTGTTGTCCATGTGACAAGTATATCAACCTTTCAATTTGTAAATTTTCTGCTTTTTCTTAGCCAGTTTTCGTGGATCCTGTCTGTTAAGCCCTCTACAGTACTCACAAGCTGTAAATATTTATTAGAAAACAAGAAGCTTTGTTTTTTACTTAATCTGTTTTGCTACTGTATTTTAGTAGAAACCTTAACATACATAACTTTTTTTCATTTTCAAACACGTTTGGTCATATAAAAAAACCTAAATGTATGCAAGCATTATTAAAATTGACTTTTTCTGTTTTTTTGTTATGTACAGTTGCTGTCATGTTCAACTTTCCAGACCAGACTATAGTGAAAAAAGTGGTTCACTGCCTCCCCAGAGTTGGAATTGGCACGAATTTTGGCCTTCCTCAAACCAGGTGACAAATAGAGGATCTATGCAAGGCCACCATACTCTGTATTACTATGGCACACATAAATGTTTTATTGTTGTACTGTTTTTTTACCTATTCAGATTAATTCTTTACCTAGTAGTCTTTAACATTCATCCTTTACATTGACTTTATAATTGAGTTTTGGAGTTATGCTCAATTTATTTTTTATTTTGTTGCATTTGCTGATTATTTTTGTTTTGTTATATTTCTTGAAATTAAGTTAAATAAGAGTATGAAATATAAACAGTGCTGAGTTTTAATTTAAGATATGCAATCCATGAACTATGCATATACCCACTATAAATATGTATGAAGTAAAGTGCACAGGCAATAACCATTAAAAAGCTGTACCACATTCACCCAGACATGATTTATAGTGTTAGAAAATGTGTGTGTTTTTCCATAAGCTTAGAAATTCAGTGTTTTTTCCATTTCTGTCTCAGAAGTGCAATTTCTCTTGATGAGAGGCTGAAGATATGGTGACTTTGCTGACTATTTTTCACATATTCTGCCTTGTGGTACATCAGTTCAGTCCTAAAGACCCATTGAAAATTGGGACAGTTAACAGATTATCATAAGCAATGGGCCTTCAGTTTTTTATTGTATTTTTTACACTGATCAACAGAAATATACTCTTTATTGCAAGAGTGAAAACAAATCTTTGCAAAGTTAATTAAATTAATTGAAATGAAAAAACAAAGTTACTGGCTGCTTAACTACTAGCCTGCATGTACCTCTTCATTACCAGGCCATTTTTAAAGACAGATAAAGCTTTCTTTTGGGTTTTTCTTTACTATGTAGAAAAAGAAAGACCAAGATGTTTGAAAACAAAAAAAATGCTTTCCTTGCGTTCTTTTATAAAATGTCAGGAAAACATGAACACCCTAAATACCCCTATTTGGAAAGTAGACACCCCAAAGCGATCTAATTTTTTGCCACGGTTTTTGGAAAGGACAAACATGCTAGTATTGCGGTGGTTAAAACATGGAGCTTGGTATTGGTACACTAGATACAGCACATCATTAATGTACAGGTTATACACAGAGGGAGGAGGAGGTGGTGAAGGGGTTAATGTACAGATCACATACAGTGGGAGGATGGAAATGAGGAGGGGGGGGAGGGTTAAAAATTATCCCACCACAATATTTTAACCCCACCACCACCTTAACTTTGCCTCCTGCCTACCTCCCTAAAATCCCTTTCACCATGAAATACTCTTTCTTTCCTTTCCTCCTTTGTGAGAGGAAGGCTCTTAAAAGTAAACACCAGCAAAGCATACATTTGTGATCACTGTGACTAGCCATCACTAGGCACAGTGCCACTCTGATTTGCTCTGTACAATTTGACTTTGATTTGCGCTGTTTAATGACAGTAGGCATTGCGCATGTGCTGGATGCGCGCAGAAGATGTAACCAGAGTGCAGCTTTAAAATGGCGCTCCAGGATGTCCACCACTCCGCCGTTTTCAAAAGTACAGTGGTAATGGAGTGGTTGAAGTATACACTCCCTTTTAATATGACACACACAAATTATTACTAGTGCAGTGTGTAATTAGACCGTAAAAGAGCAGCACAGTGATGAGGCACTCTTTTGTTTTACTGTCAGAATGTTACTTGCCAGCTTGTGAACACTGCAACCCCTACTGCTTTCCCTCCCTCACCCAGTCTTAGTGTGGTGCAGGGGATTACAAGAAGCTGATACCAAATCATATTCGGGTGCTTAAATTACTTTAAAATACACCTAGATTTTTTTAGTGAATATATTACTACATTAGTTGTTGGTGAGATGTTTTTTTTTTTTTATTTGATCTGCCTGGAGTTCAGCTTTAAAGTGACCCATGTCATTTCTCTTACTATCGCATCTAGAAGTACCTGTGCATGGGGCCTGTTTATATTGCTTTATTGCTCCCTTTCTTAGCTCCCTTGCAATCCCTAGATAGCAGATGTGACATTTCATGCAAAAAGTATGATTTCTAGCCTTTCTTTTTTTCCTTCTGCCTGCATACAGTGACTTCATTTTCCTTTTTTGATTGGGTAGAAATATATATTTTTTCATTGGCTGAAATAAGGAAGATTGAAGGAAAACTGAAAGTGAAAATGTGTAAAGTTGGCTTTTACACAGGTTATTCACAAGTGCTATCCAGAGTTTGCTTGAGAGCTGCGACAAGAGAAAGAGCTAACAAGAAATTCTGTGCACAGGTTCTGTTAGATGGGTTATCAAGAGGAATGTCATGGACCACTTTAACAGTTATACTGCAAATGCCTTAAAGCGACCCTTTAAGGAAATAAAATAAAAACACATTGTATACTTACCTTTTCCTGGGCTGGCATTTTAAATCTTTGCTCTCTTGAAGAACTGTAGTCACCACTGCTAACTGATACTTCCAGTGTGTAGGCCCAATCCTTATGTCACTTTTGTGTCCTGACCTTTCTTCCAGGTAATTTTGTGTAATTCCTTGTCAGCGGCAACAGGGTTGCTTTATAAGTACTGTAATGTTTTCAAAAACACATGAAATTGCACAGGGGATGTAAAAGTTGTCCTGTCTGATGCAGACACTGCTAATGAGTTAACAGATCTGCCTACCACAGTGTGATATATATTAATGTCTCCAAACAAATCTTTGCTTATGTTTTCCTAAGTTTGAGAGGATTAGCATGTGCAGTCAACACTGTTGGTTCCTATTTTTTTAACTAAAAATCTGTATGTCTTTTTTTATTCTTGGCAGGCGCATTTCCCTAGCTAGTGCTCGGCAGATATTTAAAGCGTCAAACATGACTCAGCGTTGGCAGCACAGAGAAATTTCAAACTTTGAATACTTGATGTTCCTGAACACAATAGCTGGTAAACTGGCAGCTGTATTATCTTCAACACGTTTTCACATCTTTCTTTATACTTTTCATGTGTGTCATGATCTATAAAAATGCAGTTTTCATGTTTTTACAGGACGGACCTACAATGACTTAAATCAGTATCCAGTATTTCCCTGGGTCATCACAAACTATGACTCAGAAGAGCTTGACCTTACCCTTCCAAGCAATTTTAGAGACTTGTCCAAGGTGAGTACTTTCTACAGCAAACCATATACTGTATATGTATATCCATCTAAGTAATATTCCATCTATCAATAATTAATTTACCTTCCTGAGACACGCATGTACGTGCACATAGGCTGTGTATTTACCATTACTGTATACTAACAAATAGGCAATAGTCTAAATATTCAAATTTTTAACAATTTACTGAGCAGAGAGTATCTCATAGTTAACTGTAACAGTCAGAGTCTTTCTGCAGCTCGTGTTTTATATGTATGCAAAATGACAGCTGTTGCTTTGGTTGGTCAGGTCACCTTTTTCTTTGTGCCTCACTGGCACTAGTTTGAGTTTGTTGCTCGGGCCTAGTTTTACTGACTTTGTTACTAAGTCCCAGAAACTGCCACTACCTTGCCAAATAGAATGCTTTTACTAGCCACTGAGGAACAGCCGACTTCTGGGGCATTAGGTAAGTTAAGCAGTTTTTTATTTTGCCTAGTCATAAATGAGCAGCTAAAGTAGTATTAAAGTCGCTTTTGTTTTTACATATGTCTACTGCTAGCAAACAGTAGTTATATGCAAAAACATAAAAAGAAAATTAAAAAGTTACCAAATAGGTAATTACTTACCTGTGTCTCCGCTGCTCCCTCCCGTCTGAAGATTCTCGAGTGGCCATGCAGGATGATGCACAGTAGAGATATTTGGCGGGGAGAAGAGGAAAGCCACACTGTAAGTGAATGCACGCACCTGACACCGTGGGACAGGAAGACACAGCAATTAGCGCTGGATCAGAGACCAGCACCAGCGCTGTAGGGACTCCTGAAAACTACTGGAAAGATGATGATGATGATGATGATCAGATCAAGAGGCGTAATTTAAGGTAACTCCTTAGAGCAGCATTTGTGGGTGGGCGGAATTTGTGACTTTAATGGCAAGGGAGATATATGTAAAAATCATCTCTGAATTGGTTCTGACACTGTCCTTCTAGAGGGTGGCTACTTTTGTTCCCCATGGTCCCTGTGTGTGTTGTAAAGTAGCCACCTCTACAAGCTCACTCCTGTGATGGACTACAATCTCAAGCTTAGTTTACTAATTTGTTTTGAGCTTTTAGTTTATCACGGGAGTGAGCTTGGAGCGGTGGCTACTGTGGAACACACACAGAGGCCATGGGGAACAAAAGTAGCCACCTTCCAGAAGGAAGGACAGTGTCAGAATGTCTCAGTGAACAAATTGGCATAATTTCTATTAATTGAACTGTCAAGGAGTACATGATAAAATAATACTCCTGAATGTCCCTAGCTTTAAAGAAGTATTTTAAATACGTTAATTCATATGTTTTTCAGGTTGTAAACAATAAAGCAACCAATTCAGTGCTTCACTAAATGTCACTTTATATAACATATGTAAATTAGTTCCCAGGTGCTACAGTATAGTATACATGCTAGTGTATGTGCATTTTCTTGTTTTTATACAAGCAAACTGCTTGTGTTTTAATGTAGTTGGGCTTCATAATTTTTTTTCTTGATACATCACATCCTATGTCTCTTTTATTCCTTATAACAACTTATAAAGTGCTATTTCTCAGCCTACTTTTAAGTCCACAGAATCCATTGTGGATGGCATTATGGACATGAAGTAAATATAATAAGAACAGTGAAACACAATCACTTTGCAGCACTACTACATAGATAACACAGCCTGTGTGTTTATTGAGAGACAATTGCACACAAGTGATGAGTAGGGTTTAGCTCCGAGTTCCCAGTTACAGCATGTGCCTGGGACTGGTGGAGTTCTCTTTGATGCTTGCTCGTACAGTACATTTATTTTACAATGTTAGCAAGCATAATTTGTTCATTTATTTGTGTGCTACATATACTGGATAGTTTTATCACTTAAGAGATAATGTTGCCTGTAACTTGGGGAGTCAGAAGAATGGATGGAGACGGAGAGACAACACTTAGTTTAGATTAACTGCCACAAATAGTTTTGATGTGTATAGAAGATGAAGTATAAAAAAACTGAGTAAAGAGCAATTAAGCTAGAGTGGGTCTGTTGCTCTTGGCACCATTTGGGTTTTTGATTCTGTGTCTGACTGTCCCATATCATAGAGATAGCACTGGACAAAATATTTTGGAGAATGGTCTTGTAGGGGCAGACTAGACAATGTGAGCCAATTACTTCTCAGACACTTTAATAACTGATACCCAGTCATCACAAATTGCTACAAGTGATCTTTTATTTGTGGCATAAGTTAAGTCAAAGTCACTTTTGGAAGCATATTTTTCTTTACAAAGGTTTGCTTTGTAAGATCTACAGGTCTCCTCATGCATCTGTGGCATGCAAGGATGATTACATGATGTATATTTTTTTTATTTTTACTCATTGAAACTTCACAGTATAGTTCCCTGAGAACGGTGATTCAGTGTATGGATGCACAGTTTGCCTTTCCATGTATTTATGCGCTCCTAAATTATGGATGACACCAAAACTGCAGACGCAGGATGCTGGGGGCTGAGGAATGAGAGGACTTGCAAGAGCTGTCTGTCTGGTATACAGACAAAGGTTAGATAAGAGACAGACCTGCATCTAGTGACTAAAATGGAGACAGATTACTGTACAATGATTTTCCACAGAGAGAAGAGGGTTTACACTGAATAAGACTGAAGGAGAACTCATGCATAGAAAGGGCTTGGGGGCCCTCTACATGCAGCTTCTTCGAAACGTAGCACAAATACATACCTATAGAATTCAGCTCTGTCAGAACCTCCTATGAACTTAAAATTTGGTGTGTCTGTTAGATTAAAAAAAAAATAATGATAATAACGTGGACACAGGCCTCAATAAAAACCCAGAGATTTTACCACTCTGAGCAACTTTTTAAAAATTGTTGCTTTGGTAGTCAATTCAGTGTTTTGTGGATCTATTTTCAAACTGTAATGGAAAAAACATCTTATATCTTGTTACATTGCAAACGTTTACAGCATAATTATTTTCTAAAGCTACAAAGGTAAGAAAACTCTTTATAGGCTGTAGTAAATATTTTCCATACATGTGGTTAAAGTGTTTGTTTTATTGTGATTTCCATCAGGTATCTGGAATATAATGTCTGTGCGGTTAGAATAAAGACTTTACATACTGGGGCTCAGGTGTTAGTGTATGAAAAGCCCAAACTTTCTGTTTAGTTTTGGATAGACTAAGGAATTGTTATTACCCCTTGGCAGGTTGGTTTTGTTTTTTTGCTTTCTGTTTCCTGTGTGGGAGTTTTCCCTTCTCTTCTTGTCCCATAGACACAGCAGAAACTAAGAGGAGATCTCTTCAGAGTGGGTATTCCCTCCTAGACATTGGTCACCACCACATTGTGGATTAACTATCACTTTCTGCAATGAAGACAATAGTCACCAGGACAGAGGAGTGAATCTCCTCTGCATTAACACACAGTAATGAAAATCCTGAGTTTTAACCCTTCTGCATTCTATCCAAAGCGTACAAAGTATTTAAAGCAATGAGATCGTAATTGAACCCACATTCACCACTGTTTAAGATTTATTAAAAGCGGAACTATGGGCAAAAGCAAACATGATATATGTAATTCAGTCAGTGAATACCAATAACACG